ATAGTTTAGAATTGAAGAGTTTGTTAATTAGGACATATGTTTATATTTAAATATATATGCTATATATGACCAAGGGACAAAGAGCCAACATCTCTGAAGTACAAAGAACTTCTACGAATTAAGGACAGAAGTCCAACAGCCTAGAGAAAAACAGTCAAGGGATAAGAACAGGAGACGCAGCTCTGCAGAAACCCAGACCGTGAGCTAATACACAAAAGCTAACGGAAGTATTAGGAATATCAGCTCAGCTAACAAGAATATCTTTGAAAGCATTTTTAAGTGACTTCCAAACACACCACACAAAAGCGAGCTACTAATTTTATAAAAGAAATGGTAGTTTCTCTCACCTGGTCCAATGGGCAGCTTTTTAGTAAAAAAAAAAAAAAAATCAGAAATAATTTCCCCAAAACAGCCAGAGACACTTCAAGCCTAAAGGTCCTTAGCTAAAAAGAGAACCAACCTTCGCTCTGTGTTTTTCATATGAATGACCCTTGATTGGCTAATTGAAATAACATGGGGTCTCAAAGGGAGCAATTTTCACACGTCAGGTTAGTTTTTTTACTTTAATTAATCCAATAATGCAAATGCCTTGATTCTAAAGATTTGGAAGAAATTCCTAACAAGAGGCTGGGGCAAATGCACATAGTGGTTCACTTGAATGTCTTATGAAAAAAATGGTAATAAAAAGAGGAAATAAAAGATCTATTTTACCCTGGTTGTCTTTTAGTTGACTGTTTCATTTGGCTTCACCTGCAAAGGATTTGGTAAAGATATTACCTCTTTTTTTTTTTTTTTTTTTTGCTTGGTGAGGAAGATTGGCCCTGAGCTAACATCTGTTGCCAATCTTCCTCTTTTTTTTGTTTCTCCCCAAAGCCCCAGTACGTGGTTGTATATCCTACCTGTAGGTGATTCTAGCTCTTCGATGTCGGACGCTCTACAGCATCGCCTGATGAGTGGTGCTAGGTCCGTGACCAGGATCCAAACTGGCAAACCCTGGGCTGCCAAAGCACAGCACGTGACCTTTACCACTCAGCCACAGGGCCAGCCCCAAGATATTACTTCTAAGTAGAGGCAACTTCTAGCTACCATGTACTTGATACCAGTGTTTGTCAACGTGCCCTGAGCATAAGAATCACCTGGCCTCTTGTTAAAAAACACAGATTCCTAGGTCCCACCAAGCATAATTCCAATTAAGCAGGTCTGCAGCGTGCACTATTCAGAAGCTGGCACTATTCAGAAGACCCCACCCACAAGGATTTCTTAACAATTTCTCTGTGGTCTTAATGACAGACATTTGAGGGAGTAAAGTGAAGGAGTGCTGGCATTTGTCCATTGCAAAATAATTTCACTAACGAAATCTTGGAAAATATAGACTAGAAGAAAAAAAAATACTTATGCATAGGAAAAAGTATTGTAAGAAAATATATCAAAATATGAAAATGTTAACTGTGCTTATGTTTGGGAGGTGGGACTATGGATATCATTCACAGATTTTCAGACTAAAGAGTGCAGAGCACATGAAAAATATTTCGTGGCAGTCTTCCCATTTCAGAAATGGAAAAAACAAGCACAAAAGTTTATTTATGGTGGTTTCAAAAGAGAATACCTGAAAAGAATGGGAAGGCAAGCCACAGGCTGGGAGAAAATATTTGCAAAAGACACATCTGATAAACGACTGCTATCCAAAGTATACAAAGAATTCTGAAAAGTCAGCAATAAGGAAACAAACAACCTGACTAAAAAATGAGCCAAAGATCTTAACAGACACCTCACCAAAGAAGATACCTCAATAACAAATAAGTATATTCCCCATCACATGTCATCAGGGAAAAGCAAGTTAAAACGACAATGAGATCCCACTACATACCTGTCAGAATGGCCAACGTCTGGATCACTGACAACACCACGTGCTCCTGAGGACGTGGAGTGACAGGAACTCTCATCTGTTGCCGGTGGGAATGCAAAACAGTGTAGCCACTTTCAAAGACAGTTTGGCAGCTTCTTACAAAACTAAACATACTTTTATCATATGATCCAGCAATTGTACTCCTTGGTATTTCTCTAAAGGAGTCAAAAACTTGTGTCTACACAAAAGCCTGCACACAGATGTTTACCGCAGCTTTATCCATAGTTGCCATAGACTTTTTAGGGCAGTGAAATTACTCTCTGTATGATACTATCATGGTGGATACATGTCGTGATACATTTGTCCAAACCCATAGAATACATGGTTTTTGTGTCTGGCTCCTTTTTCCTTACTATAGTGTTTTCAAGGTTCATCCATGTTGCAGCATGTATCAGTAGGTCATTCCTTTTTTTTTTTTTTTTTTTTGAGGAAGATTAGCCCTGAGCTAACATCTGCACCCATCTTCCTCTACTTTATATGTGGGACGCCACCTCAGCATGGCTTGGTAAGTGGTGCATAGGTCCACACCAGGGATCTGAACTAGCAAACTCCAGGCTGCTAAAGCAGAGCACACAAACTTAACCGCTGTGCCACCGGGCTGGCCCCAGTCATTCCTTTTGTTTTTTCTTTTGGTGAGGAAGATTGGCCTTGAGTTAATATTTGTGCCAGTCTTCCTCTATTTCGCACATGGGTTGCTGCCACAGCATGGCTTGATGAGCAGTGTGTAGGTCTGTGCCTGGGATCCAAACCCACGAACCCCGGGCTGCTGAAGTGCATCATGCGAACCCAAGCACTATGCCACCAGGCAGGCCCCAAGTCATTCCTTTTTATGGCTGAATAATATTCCATTGAACTGATATCTGTATCACGTGTTCTTTATCCATTCCCCAGTGGATGGACTTTGGGTTGTTTTCACTTCTTGTCTATTATGTACAACGCTACTCTAAATATTCACGTACAAGTCTTTTTGTGCACATACGTTCCTAATTCTCTAGGGTATACACCCACAAATAGATACAGTAACTCCATGCTAAACTCTTCCAGGAAACGCCAGACTGTTTTCCAAAGCAGCTGCACCATTTTCTATCCCCACCCGCAAGGTAACAAAGGTTCCAATTTCTCCACCCGCGTCTCGTTATTGTCCGTCCTCTGGCTTACAGCCATCCTAGTGGTGTGAAGCAGGATCTCACCGTGGTTCATCCACTTCTTCCTGATGAGTAATGATGCTGACCATCCTTTCGTTTGCTTGTTGGCCATTCGCAGAGCTTCCTCGGCCAGGTGTCCATTCAGAGCCTTGGCTCATTTAAAAAATTGGATTTTCTTTTTATTATTGAGTTGTAAGTGTTCTTTGTATATTTTAAATACAACTCTCTTATGAAGTCATGATTTGCTCTATTTCCGTCTGTCAGTAGTCTTTTCACTTTTTTGATGGCGTCCTTTAAAGCACAGAAATTTTAAATTTAGATGAAGTCCAATGTTTGAATTTTTCTTCTGTCGCTTCTGTTTGAGGCGTCATAGCTAAGAAACTGTTTTATCCAAGGTCCTGAAGATTTACTCCTGTGTTTCCTTCTAACCGTTTAAGCTCTTCTATTTAGGCCTATGATCATTTTGAATTTTTGTGTATATGGTGTTTGTTAAGGGTCCAACTTCATTCTTTGGTGTATGGCTAACAGATATCCTAGTGCCGTTCCTGGAAGGACTTTTTCTCATTGAATTGTCTTGACACCCTCTTCAAAAATCAGTTCAGCATAAATATAAGGGCGTATTTCTGGACTCTCTATTCTATTCCACTGGTCTGTCTATATGTCTCGTTCTTCTTTTTCTAGTTCCTTCCCATAATCCCCATCAGCACTTCCCTCCAGAAACATACATTCTAAGCTTATACCAGTTATTGACAGACATTAAGAGAAGTTCCCCAGACTCTGGGTCCACCTCCTTGCAGCCAAAATACTGCCCCAAAGCAGAATTCTGAGGATGCTGCTCACTGGACCCGGACTGTCTTGAAGTTCCAAACTGTTAGTCTGGGGCCGGCCCCGTGGCCCAGTGGTTAAGTTCGTGCGCTCCGCTTTGGCGGCCCAGGGTTTCGCCGGTTCGGATCCTAGGCACGGACTTGGCGCTGCTCATCAGGCCATGCTGAAGTGGCGTCCCACATGCCACAACTAGAAGGACCCACAACTGAAAATACAAAACTATGTACTGGGGTGATTTGAGGAGAAAAAGCAGAAAAAAGAAAAAAAAAAAAGATTGGCAACAGTTGTTAGCTCAAGTGCCAATCTTTAAAAAAAAAACCTGTTAGCCTGCCAAGCCCAGTACTGTACTCGGCAGTTTGTAGGTTAAATGGTTAAAGGATGTGTGGATACGTGGATGCCCGAGTGAATGAAAACTGATGTTAACCTGGTGGCTCGCTGGCTGAGTTCAATGAAGTTTCTGAGACTGTGTCATTGTAAGGTTGAGTCACACCCGAGGAACAGATTTTGAGGGAAACCTATAATGAAAAGTTGTGTCAAATTCACATTATCAGCCAATGTCTTTTGGAAAGCTAACAGACATTTTTCAGGTAAGTCAAAATTATACATGTGCCCTGGTTATTTCCTGGAACTTCAAGTACAGAAAACTCCCTGAGTTAAGCAAATGGAACACATTAATCCTTTTAAGACAATGTTGAACCAAGACACAGAATCTGGAGTTAAATATAAACACCCAAATAATTTGCCATTTTCTCTCCCAGGACCATTACACGGCAATGATCACTATAATCAAAATTTTATTTGCAGTCTTTCATCACATGCATTAATTCCTTTAAGACCCAAGGGTTAATGAGGGCTTCTTATGGTTCATGGTCCTAATTGGAAATCTTGGTGGTGTGACTATTAACACACTAATTGTAGGCAGGAAAAACAGTAGCAACTTAAGAAAAAAAAAATGTAGGTAGTGCAGAACCTTCAAATATTTAATTAAATGACAAAAAAAACTTCTTTGCTATTTAAACCCTTGAACACCCATGAACTGAAAGCAGACAAAGGGTTTTTAGTCTGGGGATAAGGGTACGACAGCAATTTCTTTGCATCTTCATTTAAATATTTCTCAAGGAGGCTATGAAATACAACGTGACCTTTATTAAACACTGAACTGTCTTAAATACATTCAAGGCATTTAAAGACATTAAAATTTTCATGCTCATTACAGTTCCTAAAAAACAAATTAACTAATATTCAAACATTTCTTCAAAACAAAAACGTCACAGACTTCTCCCACCAGACCTGGTTTTCTCCACTAAATCTCAATAGTATGGAGGATGGATCCAGAAGCCCAGCTCTGACTTCCAACGAAACATCAGCCGCGTTCTAGACCTCTTCACCTACAAGAGTGTCATCTACTGCAGATTCCCAGTGCCCCTCCGGGCCCTGGGTGGACCACTACTGGCTCACGGCCCTTCTGCCACCACTCAGCTGTCCCCTATACTCGTTAGCCTTGGAAATCTAGCACCATGATTTGGACTTTTCCGTTGCGATTCATAAGAATCACCAATTCCTCAAGTGTGGCCTTCCATTGTCAAAAAACTACCATTCTTCTCAAGAAACTTAAACGTTTTTGCAAAGTAGAGAACACTGAGAATTAGAACAGGAAGGTAGACATCCGCACCGTATGCAACAGCTCAAAGAATCACTTGGCGTTGCAAAATCTTTATCTGGCTAGAGGGCGGGATTAAAAAGCCATTCGGTCCCCAGGAACTCGTCGTGTTAAGAACAGAGCACATGACTCTGTACAGCAGTCGGCCCCACGCAAGACAGGAGACGTGAATGTTCACCTTGGAACAAAGTGAAGCAAGTCTCTCAGCCCACCTTCCCGTGGAACCTGGGTTCTATGGAAAACAAGTCAATTAAGCCTAAAAAGACAGTGGAAATGCAAATTATTTTGCACTTGAGCGGCTTTCATGATATAACAGTTAACATTAGTTTGTGCTGCTAAAAAGCAAAAGCTGTCTCAATGCCGAAGTGACCCCAGGACTTGCTGGAGAACCACCTCAATCTTTTATTCCTGTCGTCACGATGCTTCTGGACCACGTGATCTCTGCAAGCACGCCTCACTTTGGCCTTTCCTGTATTACAGTGAATCCATCACTTCCTGCTAGAGATGTGTACCCCAACTCAGATCCAGTGAAAAGCCTAGGATCTGGGAAATCATTTACTGCCTCAGAAATATCTGACAATCACCCGAAGTTTAACGGTCTGCCCTCCAAGCTCTCCTTCCTAGAGGAAAGCTGTTTGGGGTGAGGAGGGAGCTGGAAGGTGGAAGCCTTCGGGAAGATAATGCTTACTTGCCCCTAGCACGCAGGGTTCTTTGCGGCGCCTCTATAAACGACTCCATGGGAATCCCCTCACCAAACGTGCGCTAACTCAGTGACTGACAACCTTGGCCAACCACCACCTGGGCCCTGGAATCAATTATTTTGATTTTGATTCCAGGGTCTTTTCCAAGACCCACCGAGATACACCATCTCAGCAGGAATGCCAAGAAGCCCACGTTTCTCCTAAGTTCCACGGCTGATTCACATGCAGCGGGCCCATCAGTGGCCTGCAGACCAGCTCTGGAAGCGTCTGCACAAACTCCTGTAATGGAGTCTGTGAATACATGGCATAAAGCAGGGGAGGAAAAGGGCCACATCACAGGCATTGGAGTAAAACCAACGAGACATGGAATGCCTATAGCACACTGAGAGCAAAGGTCACACTTTAATAATAAAAACACCACCACAGAGAAGCACGGTATTTTCCCGCTATTACATTAGCAGATACACAGAAGAGCAATAAAAAAAAGTGGATTGACTTCAAGCGACTGTTTCTGACGCCCATGAACATAGACCAGAATTACTTGTGGGGGTTCTCAAAATCTTTAAGTCTAGGCCTCGCTCTTGGAGAAGGCTGCAACGGGGGCCAACAGCTCTTCGGGATCTCCGAGGCTTCCTTCCGGCTGAGTCACTGATTTCGGTCGACTGGGGCACCCTGGGTTTTTTTGGGCCACTGTTTGGGGGTGTGGGAAGCTTTTCTGGCAGATTTACCAGCAGTCGTGAAGAACTTGGCCTCTGGCTTTTTGGGAGTCTGCCTTGGGTCTTTCTTCCCCAGTGAGGAATTCCTTTCTTTCTCCAGCTCTTCTTTGACTCTTGGCTTCTTCCCTGGGCCTTTACCTGGGGTCTCGGGCTCTGCAGCTTTCGGGGGCTCCGAAGCTGGGACGGCCTTTCTCTTCTTCCCACGAGGTGTTTTGGGGCCAGGACTCTGTTTTGGAGACTTCTTTCCTGTGGCATGCTTTTGTATCTAAGAAAGAGAGGAAAGTTAAATCCGGGGGGAAAAACCCAATTGACAATGTGATTCTAAGAGTTACTGTTTTTATTATTAACACCCAACAGGTACACTGCAGCATGACGAAATGAGGAATGACTTTTCTTTTTGTCTCGCAGACATTCTGAAAGGCAGCTGTATTCCATTATCAATGACTGTACAAAGGACTCTGGGGGTCTCCCTGGTCCCAAAGGAAAACCATCTTTCCCCTTGGCCGAGGGTAGGGACTCCCGGAAGCGCCCCTGGGAGCAGAGCAGGGGGACCTATGAGCTAATCCTGATTCTTCTTCCCTTGCACACAGCTTAGGGCAGGGGGTTCCCAAACTGTGGACGTAAACCTCATTTCCCAAAGTCAGATTCAGAGGTCTCCGAGGGACTGTTACAGGCCAGGAATCGTGGATTTTCCAAGTGCCCAGATGACTGCTGCTGACCCAACCTCCTAGCAGGGGACTCTGTCACATGCAGATGTAGCTCATATAGACCACAACAACCAACCAAACAACACTCTGTTTTTGAGTAAATACAAATCAACAGATTATGGAAAATTTGAAAAACATCAAAAACATAAAACTCCCTAATAACTCTATCACAGAGCAAACTATTATTTACAACCTTCCCCCACGAGTATGCGTGTATTTTAAAGCCAAGCATTATGCCCTTTTCCCAAATATTTCTTCTATATTTCCTAAGCACTATAAACTCTTACTAAACGTTAGCTCAAATACCTTTACAAACACTACTGCGAGGGCACATGACATTTTCTCGTTTTTGCCTCTAGGGTGAATGAAGATGAAACTTCAGTATATTACTACCCTGATCATGTTTCCCACTTGGGTTCAAGGACATGAACGCCTCGACAGCTCGTGACACACACCCCCAGTCAGCTATGCTCTCCAATCTTCAATTTCCAACATATGATAGCCAGTCCCTTTAGAAGAAATTATAACAGCTTACTTTTTCTAAAAACAATTATACTTGCTTACAGTTAATATACGGATCATTTCTGTTAATTTCAAGTCTATTATAAAACTCAACACCAGCCCTGGTGGCCTAGGGGTTAAGTTCAGCGTGCTCTGCTTTGGTGGCCCAGGATGGGTTCCTGAGCACGGACAGACCTACACTGCTTGTCTCTCAGTGGCCATGCTGTGGCAGCAACCCACATACAAGAGGAGGAAGATTGGCAGCAGATGTTAGCTTAGGGCCAATCTTCCTCAGCGAAAAAAAAACCCCCCAAAACAACTCAGTAGCACTTTGGGGGCACTTTCACTAGCAGATGAAAATTTTACTACCATTGGAGATTTTAAGGCTCACTGTTAGGACAAAACACAAGAATAGGTTAAGTGCTGTAACAGCCTTGGGACACCTGGCGCAGGCTGTGCCCTGAGCTACGATGAGTCTCCTCTGCACCCCTGTGAGGGCCGCCTGTTAGTCTCTTAGGGACCTACTCCCCACTTATTTTTCAAGAGGTCTGCACCAACAGCTGGATGGATACTATACGAATGAGTAAAAACATCAAAGAATCAAAAAATAAAAACTCAGTTCTTTGAAATGATCCCCTCTGAAACCCATGATGTCAGATCTCTGTTGAGGACCCTGGGGGGCGGGTGTCCGAAGCGTTCAGAGGCCGGCTCCAGTCGCCAGCTTTACTTCCCACGACTAACTCTGCGCTGATCCAGGACTCACCTCACCTCCAGAAACCGAACCACTGTCCAAGGGTCCGCCCAGGCCTGCTTCCTCACACCACGGGCAACGTTTCTCACAATTATTAACACGTCAAGTCTCCCTGGATTCCAAGGTACGTAAAAGGTTGTGTTTACTACACATCACTCCAATATTTAAAAGAAGGGTAAAGTGAGTCATGGAAACTATCTCCAGGGTTCTCGGGACTTTTCATCTATGACTTCAAAATGTGTGGTAGAAGAGGTTTCACCTGAAATAGATTTCTACAAACGATGGCCCCCACCTGTGTAACACTCCGACCTCCTTCACTCAGCAGTGCTCAGCTGACCCCGAGGGCCGCGGACTCAATCGTCACGACCATTAAACGTTAATACAGATACCTCCACGTTTTCTTTCGCGGGAGTTTTCCCCAGTGGTACCAGCACTGGAATTTCATCTTCAGACTCGTCCTGCACTTTAACTTGGGCTCTTCCTCCGCTGGCCTCTGTCTTCTCATGCTCTGGGGTCTCCGCCTTCTGGAGTGCAGGACCCTTCGCTGGAACACCGGTGGCAGGGGCAGCCTGCTCTGTAGCTGGGACGGCTTTAGCCTTCTTCTCAGCCCATCTCGTGGGCCCCTTGTTTCTTTTCTTCGCCGTTTGTTTGTCAAAATATTCTCTTCTTTTTTGTTTTTTCTTTGCTTCCTACCAAAAAAACCCAGCATAATTTTAGTAGGAGATCCTTTTGTTGGTAAATAGATGGCACAGACTTAGCACCTGCAGTTCTGGGGGCTCATGAGCTCCCTGAAGGGGCCTTGACCTGAACGAGCTCCGAGCAAACAAACCCCACTACCAGCATTTGAACCCCAACTCCCCTGTGCCTGTGAGTCATGGCCAAACACGTACTTTACGCACTCAATTACGTGTCACTGTGCAGAATCCAGGCATCTAAGGACGCAGTGAGTCTCACTTATAGGTGAGTTAAGAATGATCCTGAACTGTATAGTATGTGATGTGGATTACAGCTCAATAAAGCTATTATACTCTCCCGTCTCACCCCCAAACCTGACTTTTTCCCTGCCTCAGGTTGTGGTTGGAGTTAAAACTGTACAAAGTTTACGCAGCTAGAGGCCCAGCATCCTCACCAGAGTCCTGTGAAACAGCATCTACAACAGGGCCCCAATTCCATTTTAGCAACTCCAAAATCCTCGCAAGGTCCTCCACCAAATCAGCTGACAAATGGCAAAAAACTCCGACTTCCTGCTTCCAATAACAGCAGTCTGTCTTATGTTGGGTCAGCCTCCCAAAGAAAACAAGTAAGAAAGTGGGATAAAACAGTAAAAAAGCAATTTTTTTTCCATAAAAGCACTGATGAGTTGAACAAACTATAAGAAATTCAAATCAAAGACCCAGTGGGGTAGGTGAGCCAGAAGCCATTTTTGCCCCGAGTGTGTGTGCTGATCCCTAACTTCTGTTCCAACAGCCACGTGGTACTGGGGGCGGGAAAACGGCGAGAAATCAAACCCAGTGGCCACAGCCCACACCAGGCAGGGATTCCAAGAGGAACCCCTCCCACCCCCCCCTCAGTAAGCTGGACCTCCAGAGAGTCACACCCGCAGGGGCAAGACAACAGGAGGGGGGCTGTGAGGGTACTGCCAAGGCTGGCTCTGAGTCATGCAGGGGAACTCAAAGCCTTGAACGTGCTCTCAGGTGGTCCCGGGCAGAGCGGCCCAGGGGGCCTGGCCAACGTAGATGTGAATCCTCCAGAGAAAGGGTCTTCATCTGACACCTCAAATTATTTCTACAAATAATTTTCCAAGTGCAATGACCATGACACAAAGATTACCAAGGACCTAAGGAAGCTGCAGGCAGAGCCAACCACCAAGGCTTCTCCTACGTGAGTTATCAGACAGCCATCCAACAACGATGCTCAACACATTCCAAGAAATCAGAAAAACTGGGAGACTATTTACAGACAACGGGAAACCAAAAAAAGTAAAGCCAACCTGAAAAAGGACAAAGCAGGGAACTTCTAGAATTAAAAAATAAAGAATAAATTTGAAAACTCAGTGGACACAATTAACATGGCTGAAGAAAGAATTAGGAAGCTAGCAGACCGGTCCGACCAATAGCAAAAAATGTGATTTTCTCCCCTTCTGGCTTCTTCTGCAACAGCACCAGCAGCACTGAAACCTCAAACCAAAACCAAGAGGTCTCTGTTAGCCTAACACAGCCTTAAGTTTGGCCCGTAAGTAACAAAGTACTTAATAAACTAGATTGTGGTTTTCCTCTCTTAGCTCCTCTTGCCACTGCACAGCCCTCTCCAAAACCTAATTAGCCCTTTTAGGAGAAATTAAAAAGTAAGTATGCACTTATCTCTAAATACCAGATATCAACATCTTAGCGTACTTGACTCGCTCCAACACTACTAGTCTCATGTGTAAAGCGGGAACAGTGACCAGAGGCACAGCGCTGGGAAAACACTGAAAGGCAGGCAGGAGGGTGCCACTTCCCTCTTCTTGGGGCCATTTCTATCCTCCATTAAGCCTGTCCAGTATTTAAAATCCTACTAACTTTTTTCTTCTGACTAGGAGTGCACACGCCTTTGGCTTCATCCTGACTGCTGACAAATGAAGAGAAGATGGGAAGGGCGACCGATTTCTCAGTTTTCACGTACAAGAGTTTCACACTCTCCCACTTCTGAAACACAGAAAAGAGCAAGATCAACTCCACGTTTCATTTCTTTTAAATGAACGATGAGTTGATGCGTCTGCAGGACTGTACCTCTGGCAATTTCTGTGAAAGCCGTTTCGTGACAGCAACAATGTTTTCCACGATGTGCTGAACCTCCATTCCAGTGTGACCGACGCGGATAGTACTGAAATTGAATCAAATATTAGAGAAAAAGACTAAAAAATCATTTGTTTTCAAAATAAAGCACAGGCAGGTATGTGAAAAACGTAAATGCACAATCTTAAAAATTTTTTTAAAGGTAGAAACCTTAAAATCTTCAGGTTCTAAATATATTTTGAAGGAAGGTTATCATCTTTTGTGTTCTAAAAACACTCTCTCCTGAAATGTGTCATACAAGCTGGTGATCGAGAAGGTGCCACCTAATGCGCGAGGCTGGGAGGGTCAGTGGGCAGGGCCAGGAGCTCTACCCTCAGTCTAGAAACCACAGGGCAGGGAGTCGGCCCTCAGCTTCTCTGAGGGCAGTTACCCCAGGAGTGGCTGTTCTGAAAGAACTACCCCCGGAAGGTCCCCCTGCCATCTTCACAGTTCCACTGCTCTGAGCCAGCTGCCACCTCTAAAGCAGTTCTCATCGCTCGTGTAATAGCGTCTTGCGGCCAAGAGCAAGACCGTCCCTTCAGCTGAAGCAGAGTGCAGACATAAGCCAAGGGGGAAGCCCAGAAATGCCCACAGCTCAGCCACGGGGTCCGTCTGTCCCTGCCGGCCCCCAACCTCCCCACCCTGGGAACCAAACGGCAGGCTCACTGTTGGCTGGGCATCTGTAGAATGAGGATGACAGAAGCTGGTGCTCCTACCTCCCTCCAGCCAAAGACGGGGGCTGTACCCACTGTGTGCCCCCTGCCACCTACCTGCAAGCGCACCCTTGGCTTCCCAGTGGAAAGACAGCAAGAACTGGGGCCAGGGAGGGAGAGGAGGAGGAGGATAGAAAACCACCGTGTTGGAAAAGGGTGGGAAAGGAGATGAAGGAATGGTATAGGTTTTGTATTGTTTTTTATCCATTGTCCACAATTTTCCTTAAACTGTGGGTTTGGGCTTGGAAAAAGCCCAGGGGCGGGAGACTGCTACTCCTTTATCTGCCTTCATGGTGCTGCCCCCTCCTCCCGGCTACTCACTGATCCCATGAGCCAAGACTTTGATGTCAGCCTATAACCAAAGAGTGGGGGGTCCAGGTCTCACCGCCCACTCTTCTCAGCTGCTTAATTATACCCAATGCAGGGTCTTCCCACCTGCAGGGAGAAGGCAACACCAGAACCCACCTGTCCCGCCCAGCCATCCCCTGCTCTGGCCTACCTGAAGACACTCTGCTGAGGGCTGGCCTCCCTGGCGAGCAGAGCCAACACATCTTGCTAGTCCTGTTTTATGGTGTGCGTGACTACTGGGAACACATGGGCTCCAAGGGTTTCTATGAGAGGTTTCTAAGGGCTGTACCCTAGAGCTCTGCCCTACTGGCAGCTGTCCATCCCAGTCACCAGATTAAGTATTTTATAACATGATTTTGAATATGTTTACAACTACCCCTCTCCCCTCTACACTGCCATGTGCTCACACTTCACCCGCCTCTCAGCCTAATAAACAAGGCTGGGCTGCACTCTCTGTTCCCTGGAAGCTGGGAAGCAACTGCTGCCCCCAAAAGTCTTATCTGGTATCTAAGGCCAGGGGTGCGGCTCCACTCGCTCAGTATCCTGGGTGAGATGCAATCAATGCGACAATGCAAAGAGCCCAGACAGGCCGATGAGACAGGGTGGACGCAGAATTCCTTAACAAGAGGTAAACCACGCCCGAGGCAGCAGTCTTCACAGGAAAGGATGATACAAGGTCAGTCAACACGAAAGCCCAGAACTGCCAATGTTCTCTAAGCCTCTTTCTACTCTCCTCGCTTTTCCTACTATCTAGAGGCGCCCTGTCCATTAGCCACTAGCCACAGGGGCCTATTTATATTTACATTAATTAAAATCAAGTAAAATTAGAAATTCAGCTTCTCAGCCACTGGACCCAAGTTTCAAATGCTCAACAGCCACTTATGGCAAACGACTCCCGTCTGAAACAGAGCAGATACAGAGCATTCCCACCACTGCGGCAAGTTCTATGGGACAGCACTGTTCTGGAGAACTGGATCCCTCTAAAGAACGGATTAAGTTTTAACAGAAGGATCTAGTTTTATTAGCCCCATCTTGTGAAAAAGACTTTATGCAATCACTATGAAACACAAGATCAGGGGCCGGCCCAGTGGCCGAGTGGTTAAGTTCACGCACTCCACTTCGGTGGCCCAGGGTTTCACTGGTCCGAATCCTGGGCGCGGACATGGCACCGCTCATCAAGCCATGCTGAGGTGGCATCGCACACGCCACAACTAGAAGGACCCACAACTAAAAATATGCCACTATGTACCGGGAGGCTTTAGGGAGAAAAAGGAAAAATAAAATCTTAAAAAAAAAAAAAGAAACACAAGATTAAACACAGGTGCACATTAATGCCTTTTCCCTACCTGCAAGAACCACTCTTGGAGATGTTTAGGACAGTGCCACCTACAGACGCGTTGATCTCTCTGGATAAATTCTTGGCCAGAAGATTCACAGGGATTGGAACTCTGTAACAACACACAGGCACTTAGGGCACAATGCACGTACACCGGTTAAGTGTCATGCTGCTGAAGGCCAGTCGCTGCCCTGAAACTCACTTCTTCCTGTTATAGAAATGTCTCCCTAGGTGGGAGGGCAGCAGCCGCCTGATTCGCGCGTCAGTGAGGAACAGGTCGAAGCTGCCCAGGAGGCGCAGCTTGGCTTCGTAGGCTTTATATTCCTTTTTTAAAGTCCGGAGGGGGATAATCTAGAAAACATAAGAAAGAGTAAACGCACAAAAAGCTAAGAACCTGAACAAGAGAGAGAAGAAGAGATACTTGGGCAACAATTTGTGTTCAGACTTTAACATGTCCTTGAGCCATGTTGAGTATCTACGGTGTGCCAGGGACTAGGCTAAACGCTGGGGGACAGAGCCAACAGGTGGGGAGTTCAGCTAAAGAAACTACCCCAACAACTACAGAACAGGGCGAGAAGTGGAGTCAGAGGCAAACACAGGAGCTCCGGATACAGAGGAACGACCGGATGGAGCAACCTTGTATCAAATCTTCAAGATACAAAAGTTATGGACACACACATTGATCCTTTAGGTCAACAAAACTTGAGGGCTCATCCATCACGGGGAAGATGAAATACACCCTACCTAAAGCTAAACAGAGAAAATTAAATTCCCGGGAGAAAAATACTCAGTAACATAGGAATGTATTACTTATCACGTTAACTGAATCCAGTCTTTTAATTGTCTCAAAAGTATTAACTTGTTTCCTACCTGAGAAATGGTTTTAATTCCATGCTTGTTCAAAAGCTTTTTATAAAAATTTTCTGTCTTTTCAGGAGTTACATTGGGTTCGTCCTTGGTAAATAAACAGATGTCTGCTAAATCTGATCGAATACCATGGGGCAAGGCCCTGCAAAATACATGAGAAGCAGACAAGGATTAAAGCGATATAATGGTCAAAATGAATATTTATATTCAGAGGACACAAAAAGACACAGAAAACAATAAACTCACTATTATTTCAATAAACTTCATTTGCGCTGTTTAAGCAAATACTCTACCGGGAACATTTAAAAATATATCTACTTTTCGATGGCACCGAGAAGAGATTTAAGATTCAAGTAAATCACCGAAAATATCCACAGACCAAAACATCAATTATTTGGGATATAAGAAGAGTTAAAATATAATCAAAGACACCCAAAATAGTGTGTATGTAATTATTATTATTTTATACATTGCTACATACGCATGCGTACTATAATGCGCTAGAATAATCTAGCTCCGTCAGGGCAGTTCCAATTCAGAACTGTACCTGGCAGAAAACTGGGCTCCATCAACAACATAACTCTCTAGAGCTGAAACAGAAAACATGGAGCAAACCAGAAGGACCGAGCAGCAAACATGCGCTGATTATTGTTGAGTCTTAAAAAAAGGTTTAACTCATTTCCTAGGCCCACACATTCTGAGGAAACACTTTCTTAGTTTAAGGAGAGTGAGCAACATACAGCAGCGTGACTTGCCAGATGAGAAGGTTTAAGTGCTGCGAAGATGCCAAGTGGAAGAAATCACCAAGAGGAGGGCAGTTGGGAAAGCATCCTGGAGAAAGTGAGAGGGCTTTCCAGAAGGGAGAAACTGGGTGCATAATGGTGTGGAATATAGGGTGTATGCGGGATACATTAAAGCAGTGATGAAGGCAATCTGGCTGGGGGAGCTTTGCAAAGATTGGTTAAGAGAGAGTCGGACGGTCCAAAGGGTCTTTCCAACTTGTAACATTCTGCCCCCTTGCCCTTTTATGGGGGAAAAGAACAGAAACAGCTATCCCACACACTGCTTTCTCTAGCAGAGCTGGCTTTTTGACACTTAGGAAACGAAGGACGCCACAGAGAAGCAGGATTGCCAGATAGAATACAGGACGCCTAGGTAAATCTGAATCTTTTTTTTTTTTTGTATAACCATGTCTCAAATATTACATGGGACCTACTTATACTAAAAAATTACTCTTATTTTTATTCGCTAAACTGGCAACTCTACAAAGACGGCATTTCTAACCTAAGGCTCCTAACAGTAAGAATGTGTAATTGCCACAAGTTTCTTTTCCACAAGGAGTTCACGGCCAAGTTTTCAACAATCTCTGTATAAAGGAGCAAGCCTGGGGCCTCAGGAATTTTAGCTTGGAAAGAGCTTGACTTGGAAAGATAACAGATTCTAGGAAAACATAAAAGCTGTTCAATTTATTCTACCTGTGTTCTCTCAAAAACCAGCCTTTGGTTTCAAAAGAACTGCTTAGGTTAGTTGTCCACCAACCGCCCAGAAAACTCGTGAAAATTTCTAGAAAATTTAAGCATGCCTGAATTCCTGTGGTTTTCAACGGCACAATTATTTATTTCAGCTCAGATTTTTATTTTGAGTTTGCAAAGTTCCCATCAGAAACTAAGTTGTAACTGTTAAAGTTACAAAGACCGGCCAAGCAGATAAGATCAGCAAAGGCAGAAAATCAGAACTTACAATTTGACCCTGAGTTCTTTACTTGGAATCTTCCATACCACCACCATTAAAAAGAAATTTTCATTTTCATTCAAAAGCAATCCATTCGTGTTTTTCCTGGACCTGGAATGCGCCAACAGAGCGTCCACTGCCTTTTTAATCTGCAAGGTGGAGATACACAAATGAATTAAATGTCCATCTAATTTAGCATTTGCCCCCTCCCTATACCTTTTTCTTTTTCTGCTCTAAGTCCACTCTAATAGGCAACCTCCACAATCGTATCTATTAGGATCGCGCAAACTGCGCTCAAAGGAATGTAAGATCCATCAGAGACCGCCTTCGTACCCGCTTCTAGCACTCGAATACAGCAAAGCGTCTCTTTTACATAAAACGCTGCGAGATGGAACACGCTCCCTCTGCCCTCAATGATGAAGGCAGCGATCCCAGTAAAAGCGCCATACACGCTGCCACTAGCATTCACCGCGCACCTACTATGTGCCGGCCCCCGGCCACAGCGCGTTGCATGCATTACCTCCCCCGATCCTGGAAAGCGGAGGGTAGCGGAGCCCCCTTTAAATACCAGGCTGGCGAAATTAAGCGACTTGGCTCAAACCAAACGGTGAGGAAGCAGGGCTGGGTGGATCTCACCCCAGAACCCCAAGTTCGACCTGCAATCCGATTCAAGAGGCCCAGGCCGCAGGGCTGCGGGAAGCGGGCGCCCACCGCGCGTCTAAACGGGCGGGCAGGCGGAGCGCACGGCCGACCGCGGCCTCCCCCGGGGGCGCGGAGCCCACACCGCGCCTCACAAGGCCACGGCCTCCCCGCTTCCGAACCGCCCTCCCCAGGGGCCACTCACCTGCTCTGTGTCCAGCTGCTCCAGGGCGGCCGGGGTCGCTGGAGTCGTGGCTGAGGCCGCGGTTGAGGAGGACGGCTGGGTCGCAGCCGAGTTGTCCATGTCGCTCCCACCTCGTGCAGATGCGCGAACGGAAGCTCGGAGCTGGCTCCTCGTGCGCACGCGCGAGCTCCGGCGCGTATCCGGAAGTCAGGGGGCGGGGACCGGACGCTTTGCGCCACTTCCGGGAACGCGGGGTCATCTCAGGGCGTCGCGCCGCAGGGGTTTGGCGGGCGCGCGGGAATAGTTTTGTCGCTGTCTCTGCCTCTGAGTATGTACCCGGAGGCAGCGTCTCTCCTTCCCTGCGGCTCCCAGTGTTCGCGGGGCGCGGGGAGCAGCCTGACGACCCCTTGCTCTCGCTCTTCCACGAAGGAAATCGAGCAAGCGCCCGGAGGCGGGAGAGGACTTTGGGCAGGCCGCGGGGGGCGTGGGGCGAGCGGGGTCCCGGCCGCAGCCCGCCCGCCGGCCCCAGCCACAGCCTCCTCGGACGCCAGGGTGACGGGGACCTGCCCCCGCTAGCGAGGATTCCGTGGACTCATGCGCGGGACCCACCAGACACGTCGTTAAGCGCTGTGGGGCCCGAACGGTGACCCGGAGCCAGTCCCGGGAGCCTGGGGTCCTACAGAGGCGGGAGGTAAGAGCTCGGACACAGGCGTGCAGGCCGGGTGCCGACAGGCTGGGAAGCCGCCCTCCCCGCGTCCCCAGGGGTGGCCGCTGTTCCCTCTTTCTCCTGCAACCTTCCGGGGATGTTATGCACATGTTTAGCTATGGAAAATTTTGAGAGATTGAAGAATGGGAGTAGGAGGCTTTCCAGGTCCGTTGTTGCAAAAAAAATGCCCTTTTCATAGTTGCCAAAGCTGGAGGAAGGGACGTGCTGCTGCTGCTCTCTAATGACTTCGTCTTTAAGCGACTTGGAGAAGAAATGTTCCTAAATCTGTGGCAGCTACTCCCACTTGTCTATTCTAGAATCTAGTGTAAGATGGAATTAGTTTTTGCACGGTATTACGAATTGTGACGTTAGGTTTCATGTATCAGTGTTTTCCAGTATTCTGAAGAGTATGAGGGCTGTCAGGGGTCGTGTCACCTGAATGAAGGTTTGAGAACCAGACTTCCAGGCCCAGGAGGGGCATGAATCCAGGTGAAAGAGCACCATGGTGTTTGGAAGTAGTAAGTGGCTGGAGCAGGGATGTGCAAGGGGAGGGCTGGGAGATGAGGCTAGGATGGTAGATTCAGGAAGGAATTCATTGTCAAGCTGAGAGTTCATGCTTCCTTTGGAGAAATCGGACAGATACAAGGGTTTTGAAGTGCTGGTAGGGAAGATGAGGAGGTGGTGAGGAATTATGCTTTAGGAAAGTTCATAATCTGGCTGTGGTATTGTGTTGGTTTAAAAAAATGTGTCAGCCCCACAAATTCTTTGATGCTTAAGTTACGGAGCTTCCTTCCCCTCCCCTTGAGCGTGGCCTGGACTTAGTGACTTGCTTCTATCAGATGGAAGATAGCGGAAGTGATAAGATGTCACTTCTGAGATTAGGTTATAAAGAGACTATAGTTTCCACCTTGACTGTTCTTTTTCCCTCCATCTCTCCCTCCCTCCCTCTTTCCTTTGCTTGCTCTGGGCGAAGCTAGCTATCATGTCCTGAGGCCACTCAGGCGGCCTGCCAGCCACCACATGAGTGAGCTTGGAAGTGGTCCCCGCTCCCCAACCCCTGTTGAACCTTGAGATGACTGCAAACTCTTGAAGGACCCAGAGCCAGAACCATGTAGCTGTGCTGCTTCCAGATTCCTGACTCACAAAAACTGAGAGATAATAAGTGTTTGTTATTTTAAGCCATCAATTTGGGGTGATTTGTTCAGCATCCGTAGGTAACTAATAGAAATTTGTAGACCTCCCCTCTTCAGACCCGTCGACTGTGTTGACACAAGTGCTGTTAGGACCTCACACCCAACACGTCCCGCCATGAACTCATCCTCTTCCCTCAAGCCGCCTCCTCCTTGTTTTCTGTCTCAGTCGTTGGCACCAACTGCCTAGTTGCCGAAGCCCGAATATGGGAGTCATCCTTAACTCTTCTCCTCATCCTTCAAATATAGTCAATAACAAAGTCTTGTTATTTATTGCTCTGACGTCTCTCTTGTATTTATCCAGTTCTTTTTATCCCTTCCACCTCGTAGTGCAGGCCATCATTTTTTCCCTACCCTACTGCAGCAGCCTCCTAAGTTGTCTTCCTTCCTCTGGGTTGGCGTCTTGTAGTCAGTTCTCTGCCCTGCAGCTGGAGTGATCTTTGCCAAGTGCAGATCTGACCATGTCACACCTGGTCGTGCTTAACCACCTTCATTTTGTTATTGCTGTCGTTAGGATGAGGTACACATTCCTTGATTTGCCTTCTGTATATCCGAGTTTGCATCTGTTGTCTGGTGTCCTATCTGGTTTAGCATTTGTCTTGGGAAAAAAGTGTCCCAGTGTGAAAAACAAATTATATGATCGTCCTCAGCACGTCAGGCACTCTTCATGTGGTGCCTCCCTGCCTGCATACAGTGCCACTCACCCCGTCGGTCCTTAGATCCTGGTTTCAGCTCTGCAGTTTCCCCTCGTTTTCACACCTTCCAGCATACTGTGACTTCTTCCTGGAACTCTGCCGCCTTCATGGTTGTTCTACCATAACCGGCTCTCCCGTTTGAGGATAAGCTCTGAGAGGGCAGAAGACAGCCAGTTAGTGGTAGGAGAATTATAACTGCTATCTTCCCATTGTATCCTTAGCACCTAGCCCATATAGGACATTATTAGTATTTCCTGAAAGAACAAAGAGTGCATTGGAATGGCCTGAGACAGGGCTTAGGTTGACAAGCATAGGAAATTAGTGTGGTTTTCTAGGTATTGAGGTCTGGTATTAGGGTGATAGCAGCGAGGACAAAGTGTAAGATTTGACAGAAAATTGGATATACAAGGAGGGAAATTCAGATTACTCCCAAGTTGTGAATAACTGGGCAAATGGGTGGTGGTGGTAATAGAAACTGGGAAGAAGGCAGGAGGAGCAGTAGATTTGGGAGGAATAATACGAGATTCTTTTTCAGTATTTGAGTCTGACGCTTAGGGCTACGTCTAAGTGGATCTGGGACATGGAAGAGAAGGTTCCTGAACTAAAGGTAATTTGGAAGTTGTGAGGTGATGGTTAAAGCTGTAGAAACAGATGAGATGGCAAAAAGAAGTACAGAGGAAGAGTGGGCTGTGGGGAAACCCTCAGTTAGGGCACAGGAGGAAAAAGAGCCAGTGAAAGAGAAATAGTTGAGGATGCAAAAGAAAATCACAAGAGTGCTTTGTTCCCCCTTGAGGAGTGGAGATATGAAGCTGTGTTCACACCAAATGCTGAAGAAGTTGGGGAGAATACATGATAAAAGGCCATTTTCTTGGGCAATTAGGTCATGGTGACCTTCTGGAAAGCAATTTCAGTGAAAGGATTATGAGGAATGTGAGTGAATGAAGAAAAAGAGAACACTGGTATTTTTTATTTTACCATTAAGGCCAATGAAATAAATGAAAATATTTTTGCATTCAAGGGAATTTATTATATTACCAGTTCTTTTTATGATCAAGAATAACATATATAATAGCACTTACTCATCTCTCTATATGGCATTTATTGAATTACTCGTTAGCGTTTTTGGTTTCCCCGCTCATTGAACCTCTGCGGCCTCAGCTTACTCACTTTCAGTCCATAACACCCAGCTCAGGCATAGATGCCTACCAGCAGTGAGTTACAGCTTAGCAGGGCAGAACGAGGCATAGGAGGCAGGACGTGACAAAAGCCGTGTACTCAGATGCCTTAAAAACCGAAAGGACAGCCATAGTAGGAGGAGTTCTTCTCTAAAATTGGCGCTTTACCCTGCTGTGATAATGACGGCTCATTCCTGCCTTTCCTCTCCTAGAGTGAGTTCTCTGAGGACCAGGACTGGGGCTTAGTTACGTGGCACACACCCGGCCTGCCTTCTTCCGGCTTTACTCCTGACTCTCTTATTCAGAGATCTGCGTGCCCTCCTTTTATAGTAAATGTAGATTATGTGACAGACTTTAAATTCATTTCAACATTTGAGTGCCCAGGTCTCATTGAATACTGTGAATCCTATTAAGTTGCTTCTCTGAAGGTACTGAGATGTTTCTCTTTGAACTTCTTGAATATTTTTATTAGTTGCAAAATGTGCCTGCTTAAAATGGCATTAACTATATGCAAAGTAGTATATAATTTTATTAAGGATTTAATAATCATAATGCAATTACTTGCAAAGAATGTATGAACATGTTGCTGGATGGTATAAAGATAAAGTTTAAGAAACTAGACTTACTAATGGAGTTCAAATTCTAGTTACTTCAAAATAAATATTTGCTAGAATCAACTAGTAAATCTAGAAAACTATTAGAAATCGTTTTTAGAAAGCCCTACCAATTTAGAATAGTTACAAATGGCAAAGCAACAACAAAAAAAGCCACATAGTCAATTATCCGTGCTGGATTATGTAAAAGCAATTTAAAAAATCTTGTGTTAGTGTCCTCAAGATTCTCGTCCTGGTACTGAAATCTGCTAGGGAGCATTAACCCAGACATAATGGAATTAAGAGGTGAGACAATATTGCTCAAATAGAGAATGTGACATTGTAAGGACGGTATGAAGAATGTGGTCTTTTTGGTCAGAAGGATCTGAGTCTGAATCCCAATTCCATGATTTACTAGTTAGTTATTAGCTTTGGACAAATTAGCGAATCTCCCAAACCTGAATTTCTTTATCTGTAAAATGAAGCTAGTTCCCATGGGAATCGTTAAGAGAATTAAATGAGGTAACCTGTATCTCCATCGTGCCTGGCCCATACGCGCCAGCACAAGGTTAGCCCTCTGCTGAGAATAATGTGGCCGTGATTAAATGGACTGGAGCATGAGACGCGCCTCTTAGCGGCTGAAGCAGGGAAGGAGGCAGTGCACCTGCACTCACGCAGCGAAGAAATGGCTGATGGTCAATAAATTGGTCTGAGCTCCTGATTTTTAAAGGAAAAATTTTGGAAGGGCCCAAGGCAAGAGAAGCAAGAGAACAGTGAGATCACCAGAAAGGAGAGAAGAAAATACAGGAGTTTTCAGTAGAGA